GCCGCGCAGCCCGCCCCGCGCGCTTCCCCGCGCCCCGCCGCGGCCGCCCTTGGCCGCACCGCTGTCCCAGAGGAAAGCTGCGGCTAGCAGTAGAGCCCAGCATGTCACGGCTGTCCAGTTCATCTTCGTGGGGCAAAACCTGCGGGAGGAGGGGTGGAGAGCAGAGGCTTAGGGCTTGGGAAAGGGGTAGGTTCTAGGAAGACCAGGGGAAGGGGGGTTGGCGTGGGCACAGGGGCTCTACTGCAGGAGGAGGAGATTCAGAATCTGCGGCACGAGGCCCAGCACCTGGGGCAGGGATTCAGACGGGGGCGTGGTGGGGGAGTGAGCCCTGGCTCTTATGGGGATCAGGGAGGGCAGCACTTCGACAAATACGGAGCCCCAGCATCTTGGAAGACAGGGTGCTCAGGGGTGGGGTAGGGGATGGAGGGGCTTTAACCTGAGGATCAGGCACTTGGCTTAGGGGTTGGGGTGGGAATCCGGTTCAGGAACTGTGGGAAGGGGTGGGTGGGGGTGGGAGTGCTCAGCACCCGGAGGTTGGTTGGTCTGCCTGGAGGGGGGAGGGTGAGCACCCTGCGGAAGGGACTCAGGCCTGGGGAGGGCATTCCGTATCCTGGGCCCTGAACCCTGCTGACCACGAAGGGCCGGCCCAGGCCTCCAGGGGTCAGCAGGATCCGAGGCTACGCTGGGGGCGGGGGAACCAAGGATCTTCCGGTTAGCAGGTGGTAGGGGAAGGGGTTGTGTTTGGAGGACGAGGTCTCAGGACCCAGGTGAGAGTCTCCGCCCGTCTCCTCCGGACCCTCGGCACCCTTGCGCCCAGCCTTGAGGGCCATAGGCCCTGGCGGCGCGCTGGGCCCGGGGCCAGAGCCGGAGTTCGGGGCTCGCGGGTGGCGTGGAGGACGCGCGGCTGGTGACATCGCACCGGCACCGCCCCGGCGCTGACCACCACCCCCTCCAGGACCGAACCCAGGGACAGTCCTTTCCCCTCCCCCATCCCGGGCCCCAAGCTCCTCCCCCACCCGCGTCCCCCCGTCCCAGCAGCCCTTGCGGGGTTGCGGACCGGGACCCGCACAGATGGCAGCTAAGGGCGTGGTGGTCTGGGAGCTCTATCCGCCCCTCCGGCCCCGCCGGTCCCTGCGCGGCGCCCGCCGGGATCCCGCCGCCCTGGCCTTACCTGCCACCCGCTCGGTGAGAACAGCGGATCAGGGAAGCCGCTTCAGGGGCCGTGGCCGACAGGGAAGGCGTCTCTGAGCCCAGAGCGGCTGCACCAGGTTCTTGCGCGAGCCCTCGCCCTAAGATTGGGGGCGGGCAGATGCGGAGGCTCATCCCCCGGGAAACCAACGAGAAGGGAGGAGATGCAGGCAGGCTCGGAGGAGGGCGGTGCAGCCCCTTCCAGCGCCCCACCCTCCAGCACCCCACCCTCGATGCATCCCGTCCTCCTTCCCTCCACCCCTCACCCTCATCCCTCCCCAGCCTCCATCCCATCTCCGCCTCCACACGTCTGCCCTGAGTCTGGCCCCATCCCCACCAACCCCACCCCTGTCCCTCTTCCCACTGTGACTCCATCCCTCACCCCATCCCTCCTCCCTACCTTCCCACCCTCTCAGTACCCGATTCTCATCCACTCCACACCATCACCCCTCTCCCATCCCTACCCCTCTCCTGTTTATCTAATGGAACCCCAGGCCCACCCATCTTCTCGTTTCCCTCTCTCCCCCTCCTCCCTCTTCCCACACCCTTGCCCCACCCAGGTGGATGTCAGCCGTTCCATTCGCAGAAACCAGAGTCTTCCAGCTCAGCGCTCTGGAAAGGGGACTCTGAGGTCCTGAGGGGAGAGGAGAGCTGTCCAGGGCCTCTTGGGTGTCCTGAGTCCTGGAGTAGGTCCTTCCCCTCCCCCCTTCCCCCTCCCCCCACCTAAGCAGGCTCCATTGAGGTCTGTGCCTGATCTCCAGAGGCCAGGAGATGTGGGTCCCTCCCCCATCCTTCACCAGATATTATGGGATTTGGCTGCTCCCTGCAGGGCCCACTGGTCAGACCCCACATGGTGGCCCTCCAGCCAGCTGTTCACAGCCAGCTTCTTTGAATGGTAGCCTGTGACTTGATCACCAAAACCTGTTCTCCTGGGGAGACTCCGAGGACCTTCTTGAAATGGTGCTGTCCTGGCTTCCAAGGTGGGCTCTCTTCTGAGGCCCTCTTTCCCCTCCCGCCCATGGGTGTCAGGCCTTCACCCCAGCTACCCTACTATGGACCCCAGCCTTCTTAACCTGGCTTTAGAAGGGGGCAGGAACCTCCTCAAATTGTGTGCACCATGTGGTTTGAAAGTTTCTGTAATTTTTCTAAGCTTTCATCATGATCTGAAAAGGCTGTCTTACTCCCCGTCTTGGTTTCAAATGCCACTGGGACCAGTGGCACCAGATTCCACATCTCCTGGCCAGACCCTTCTTCGGGGCCCCAGAGTCACTGATGCAGTCCCAGCAACCTCTCACATGAAGGGGCTTGGATGCTGTCCGGAGTCTTTGTGACTTGAATGTAGGGACCACTGTTGACATCTGTCCTCCCAGAGCTGAGCACTGCCGGCCGCACAGGGATGCACAGGGAGCATTTGATGAACAAACGAACAAATGAACAAACAAATGAATACATGTTTCTGTCTTTAAGGTAGGGATTCTGGGTAAGTTAGAAGAAAACATTCTGGAAATAAAAATCATGTTTACTATTAAGGTACATTTGAGAACTGGTGAGAAAGCCACCTTTGTACCTTAGCCTTTCTAGGTTAGACTGGACAGCAAGGTTTTTCGAACCCTTGGCAAGTAAGGATTGGAAGAAACTGTAATTTGAAAGTGACAAATAGACCTTCTGGCTCCAGGTAGCAGACTGAGCAGCTCAATTTAGCTCACCTCCCTCTTGCGATCAGGCTAATATTACAGCAAAGAAATTAAAAGGGCACAAACCTAACAATGAGAATGGGAGGCATCAGGAAACAGGAGACTTGAACCTGTTTCTGGAAGCTGGAAAGTAGGAAGGAGATCTTAAGTCTCCTAGTGCTGCTGTAAAAGAATATCATGAGTGGGTGGCTTTAAAGAAAAGAAATTCTTTTTCTCATAGTTTAGGAGGCTGGAAGTCCAAATTCAGGCCATGGGTCTAGGGGGAGGTCCTTTTTTTTTTTTTTTTTTTTTTTTTTTTTTTTCTTTTCAGAAGTAGTCCTCTAGGCCTTTCATCCTAATGTGTGTGTCTCTCTGTGCCTATTCTGCTCTTTTTATTACTCAGAAGTGAATGAGTTTAAGACTCACCCTACACTGATATAATCCAACAGTGCACTGAACAGTACATCATGACGTTTGGGGAAGGGAGAGCGGGGCGTTACTGCTTAAAGAGCACCAAGTTTATGTTTAGGGTGATGAAAAATTTTTGGATCTATATGGCAGTGATGGTTGCATATGTTGTGAATGTAATTAATGCCACTGAAGTACACTTAAAAATGGTTAAAATGATGGGTTTTATGTTACATATATTTTACCAAAAAAGAAAAAATGTACATAATGATCAACAAAGGTATGGGATGGTTTTACTTTGAAAAATATCTCAACGTCACCTCAGTGAAGGAACAACGGAGAAGAACACTCATGATTTTCTCAAAAGCTAAAGACAAAAGATTTTATTACGATCAGCATTCGTTTGGGATAAAAATGCTAAGAAAACTAGACCAAAAGTGAACTTTTTAACTTGATAAAGGCTATTTTTCATAAATCCTTAGCAGACATTTTACCTAATGGAGAACCTTTAAGTATATTCTTTAAAAAATATGAACAAGAAAAAATTGCTTACTTTGACCACTTGTTTAACGTGGCATTGGCGGAAGTGCTAATAGCAACAGAAATATGTGTCGAAGAAGTAGCAGCTTCTGCAGATTGGTGTCCCTAACATGTGTTCCCAGACACAGAGGCTGAGCACCTGAGCACCAGTTTTTCACCCTAAACTTCACGGCTGGGGGGCAGGGGCACAGGACACACAGAGCCAATAACCTATGACAAAGTGTGCTCTGAGGGACCTTGGAGAGCTCTTGTCTCCCAAAAGAGGAACTATGCGGAGTGATATCCCCTTTTCCTTTTCCATTTTTCCTGCCTGGATTGTGAACTTGGTGCTGGATGGCTGCTGCCATCTGAAGACCACATGACACTGAACCAGTAGACCGAGTGTGATGGAGTGGAAGGAGGGAAGACACTGGGTCCCTGGTGGTGTGTGGCAAGGCTGCCTCTTTGCTTTGCCCCTGCCCTGTTCACTTCCTGACCCTTTGTCGCTGCTTCTTTAAGTAATGATTACCTAAATATTCTGTGACAAGATTGAGAATTTTGGTAGAGAATAGGACAGAATAAAAACAACCAGATGGAAATTGCTGAAATAAAAGATACAGTTAAAAATATAGATTAGACATGACTAAAGAGAGAATTAGTGACCTGGAAGATCTGAAGAAAATATCCAGACGAAAGCACAGAGAAACAAAAAGGCAGAGCATAGAGAACAGCATGCTAGCAGCCATGGGAGATACTATAAAAAGTCTAACATACATACAATTTTAGAACCAAAGAAAGAGGCAAGAACCAGTGACATAGATGCATAATGGCCGATAATTGCCCAAAACTGATGAAAGAAAGGAAGTTACAAATTCTAGAAGCATTACAAACTCAAAGCACAGTAAATGCAAAGGAAAGCATACCTAGGTAAGACTGCTGGAAACCAGACACAGTGCGAAAATCTTAAAAGCTTCCAGAAGTGGGAGAAACATTACTTACAAAAGAGTAAAAATAAGACTGACAGGTGACTTCTCAACAGACATAGGTAGCAGCTGGCAAAGCAGAAACGTGGTTTGCAGAGTTCCAGCTCCAGCATCACAAAGCTGGCTATGGAAGGGTGGTCAGAAGGTAAGAGGCAATAGATTAAAAACTGCCACAAATGAGAAGTATGCAAATACTAATGAAAAGGAAGTTGATGCAGCCAGAGGAGAAAATAGCATAGATGCAATATTTAAGGAGACAGTGACTGATAATTTCCCAATACTGGTCTCAAAACGCAAGTTACAAATTCTAAAAGCATTACAAACTCAAGTACAATAAATACAAAAGAAAGTATCCCTAGGTAAGAGTGCTGGAAACCAAACAGAACGTGAACATCGTAAAAGCTTCCACTTTACCTACAAAGGAATAAAATTAAGACTGACACCTGACTTCTCAACAGGAACAGCAGAAATATGGTTGCAGAGTCCCAGCTCCAGCACCACAAAGCTGGCCATGGAAGGGTGGTTAGAACCTAAGTGACAACAGATTAATAACTAGCGCAAATGAAAAACATATACCATGTAAATACTAACTAAAAGGAAGCCGGTGTAGCTATGATAATGTCAGACAAGGTAGACTTTAAGCTTTAAAGATTAAGGCAGAAAGCATTACTGGGGATAAAGAGTAACAGTTCTTAAAGACAAAAGGTTTAATTTACCAAGATGATACAACATTTCTGAATTTGTATACACTTAATGACATAACCTCAAAATATATAAGGGAAATGGCATGAAAGAGAAGGACATTTACAGCACAAATCATTTACATACATTTAAAACTCTCACACAAAGCAACCTGATACATTTGTCAATAATCCATATATATCCAAGAATTTATATTAAACATATTACACTGGGTGACCGTGATGAGAAAATAGGATGGGAGTGTGGAAAAGCAATGAAATTAATCAAGAGAGGATCTACCAGGAACAATGACGATAGTTCAATGTGAAGGGAAACGTTCAATGAACTCAATTATCTGCCCCCAAGCTCCAGAAAAGAAAGAAAAGGCAGAAAAAGTAGTTACAATTATGTCATCTATTCATTAGACTTAGATATTTTTAAAGAAAATGACATAATAACACTACATTCTTGTTTCTGAGGAAGGGTGGCAAGTGTGTGTTCCATGGTGCTGCCTGGACTGGCTGGGAAACCTCAGTTCAGCCTGTCTGAGGCCACAGAGGATGGTCTCAGGGTCTTCTCGGAGGACCTAAAAGAAGGAGGCCATCCAAGGGTGCACAGGGACAGCACAGGCAGAGTCAGGACCAGGGAGAGGGGCTGGACGTGCATTAGCTGACCAGATGCCAGGTGGTCAGTGGAGTGGCAGTGGGGAGAAAACTTCCTGTGAGCTGAGGACTAAGGGTTTCATGGGCTGAGGGCAGTTAAGTGGCAGTAGGCTGATGCTAGGACCAACCAGGGCACCTGTCAGGTGCTGAAGTCCCTGGGAGAGCAGCTAGGAGCAAAGGAGCTGTCCACAGCTCTGGTGCTGAGGTGCCTGGGAAGGCATCAGGGAATGCAGGTCCAGGGTTGAAGCTGACAAGCCGGGGGCCTCTCTGTCCAGCGTTTGGCTCCCTTTCCGCATGTTCACATGCTCTCTCCTGGCCACTTTGGGGCTCCGGCAGCTCCGTCTCAGGTGAGGTGGGAACTTGCCGGCTGCGCTGGTGGATGAGACCTGTGGCTAGCCTGGGCAGTGGGCCAGGGCTGCTAGCCAAGCTGCCTGCCTGCTGCTTTGACTGCCTGCTGAGGAGAGGAGAGGGGTTCAGAAGTTTTCCTTCCTGCAGAGGCACCCCAATGGGTGCTCAGGAGGGGCCAGTCGTCCAGAGGAGTTTGGCCAGGCCCTCCCTGATATCTCGGTTCCTCAGGCAGTAGATGATGGGGTTGAGCAGTGGGGTCACCACTGTGTAGATCACGGACACTAGCTTGTTGACATCAAAGGAGCTGTCAGCGTGAGGACGTGCATACATGAAGATGGTAGTGGTGTAGAAGATTGCCACCACCACCAGGTGGGAGGCACAAGTGGAGAAGGCCTTCCAGCGTCCAGCTCCTCCTGAGATCCTCAGCACCATAGCCAGGATGTGGGCATAGGAGACCATGATCACCAGCAGGGATGTCATGAGCACGGCCACGGCTGCCACAAAGTCCAGTATTTCAGTGGCGGTGGTGTCTGAGCAGGAGAGCTGCAGCAGGGGGGAGATGTCGCAGAAGAAGTGGTTGAGGACATTGGGGCCACAGAAACTGAGGTGGGAGATGAGAGCCATGGACACAAATGAGGCCAGGAAGCCACCAAGCCAGGCACTGAGGGCCAGGTGAAGGCACATCCTTGAGTCCATGATGGCCGAGTAGCGCAGCGGGTGACAGATTGCCAGGTACCGGTCACAGGCCATGGTGGCCAGGAGGAAGCACTCAGAGGAGGCCAGTGAGAGGAAGAGGAAGAGCTGTGTGAGGCACCCCGAGAAGGAGATGGTCTTTGCCTGCACCAGGAGGCCAGCCAGCAGCTTAGAAACAGTGACTGAGGTGTACAGGGTCTCCAGCACTGATAGATCGGCCAGGAAGAAGTACATGGGTGTGTGCAGCTGATGACTGGCTCGGATGACTACTGTGATGACCAGGTTCTCCAGGATGGTCACTATGTAGATGGTCAGAAAGGACCCAAACAGCAGCCCGTGTAGGTGGCAGAGCTCCGGGAATCCCAGCAAGACAAACTCTGTCACCAAGAAGGTCTCACTGGAGTCACTCATGGCCAACTCAGCCTGGGAGATCACTTCTGAGCACCCTGGAATAGCAGAGAGACACAGTGTGATGAGTGCTGGGACTAGGACCCGGGTGGCTGGGTGCAATGTATCCCCTTCTGAGATCTCCAAGGCAGGGATCTACCACACCTGGCATGGCCAACTTGAGGACTGAGGCAATTCCTCTTGGTGCTCTCGAAGCTGACCAGGCTGGTGGACAGGGAGAGTACAGATGCTCCTATTGCTCACCTTTGTGACCCACTGTGGCACTTACTTGTCATCCCACCTCTCAGCCCAACATGCGTTCTTACACAGAGATAACACCTGGCAGAGGAGCCTTGGGGCCTGCACACACCAATAGGTGTAGATACACAGCTAGGTACTTACACGCATTTGCACCTCAGGTTCACACTCCTCCCTGCCCCCAAAACACAGGTACACAGCCAGATGTGTATGTGAGTGAGCACCCCTCCACACACCCTGGGTGCACACACATGCCCTAGGTGCATGGACACACACACACACACACACACACACACACACCTGTGCACAAACACAGGCACACACCCACACACCTGTGCAACCCACACACACACCATTGCACACACAGAGTGCTTGCACATGCACATAAACACACCCTAAGTCCATGCGTGCACACACACACCAGGCGCAAACAGATACACATACACAAACACATATACCCTGGGTGCATGTATACACACACACGCACATCGTGGTGCACAGACACACATCAGGTGTGCACACACACCAGGTGTACACACACACAACAGGAGAGAAGACCCATTGTGCCCCGTTGCCGTTTGGGGGCCGTGAGCCCTAGGGAGCATCCCTGTCCAGGGCCATGTTGGTCCTTAGAGGATGGCTCCTTTGCACTGCTCCTTCATGCTACTCTCTGTGTCCAGGGTCTTTATATCTTGGGAAGGAGAATGAGGGGCCAACAAGGCCATCAGCTGTCCCGGACACCCTCAGGGGTGAGCAGAGCCACTAGGCGGTTTCCAAAGGGAGGAAGGCCCCTTGCCCACCTCTGATGTCCTGCTGTGGATTGGCCTTGAGCCAGCCTGACTTCTTTATCTTGCATCTTGTATAGCAGCAAAGCGGTCCTTTGAGGGACGGGTGGGGGCTGTCCACTCTGAGCCTCTAATGGGTCCACACTGTTTGGGATTTTTGTGTAAGTACATCCATGGTGCTGGGTGTCTGAGGATGGACTGTCTGTGTGCAGAGGATGGGCTGAGGCAGGGGCTAGAGAGACTCCCGCTGCCCGCCGAGGGCTCCTGGGGCTTCCTGCCCCTCTGGGAGGAGGTGGAGCCTCATTCTTGGTCCCCCCACTCCGCCACTGGGGTCTGTCTGCTAGTGGTGGAGGGAGATTACGAAGGACAAATAAAATTCATGATTGGCCCTCAGGCCCCCTCCCTTCATTTGCGGGTCTGAGTTGGAGGCAACTCCTGGTTCTCGTGGGAAGTGAACTCATGCAGGGAACAGCAGAGGGCCTGTGGCGGGCTCCGAAGAACCATGCATGCTGAGCCCCATGACCACAAGACCCAGGTGCTAGACACCATCATGGCCAGCAGTGAAGGTCTCTTGTGGGCCAGGAGAGAGTGTTCAGGACATCATGGGCTACCTGGAGGTGGCAGCAGTCAGTGCAGGGAGGACAGTGAGTGAACTGCCTGGAGAAACAGCCATCAGGGCTGAGGGGGAGCCCACGTCTGGTGGGGGTGCACAGTCAGGGAGTGAGGGGCTGAGCACTGCCTCCCAAAGCCCATCTCAGCAGCCCTCCACCCCGGTGATGTGAAACGAGTCAGCCTGGAGTAGGAAGGTCTGGACCTGGGAAGGGTCTGCAGCATCAAGCGTGGGGCTGAGATCAGTGGGGCCGGCTTGGACCCCCAAACTGAGGGAAGGGAGGGCTCAGGACCCAAACACCTCCACCCAAGACAGAAGCGAAGGCTGGCTGCCTCTGGGTCTGACCTCTGCTGGAGATCCAGGCCAGCAGACGTGCTGTGTCAGGGCTGGGAGGCGCTGGGAGCCGGTGTCCTCTTGCTCTTGCCATCCAGCCAGGCAGAGGTCACTGGGGGGCCCCTGACAGCTGCTGTTTTCGAAGCCTTCCCCTGACCTTTTGACTCAAGACCAAGGTGCTGCCAAGCCACTCCTCCAATCCCAGACGGGCAGGGTACCCGCTGGGTCGCTGCATGTCTCCGGGGGTGGGGTCGAGATCGCGCCACCTTTCACCGTGTCCCTCCGCCTCTGACCCCAGATGATTTTTATGGAGCTTGTTAAGGGCTTTTTCTTCCCCACCCCCTGGACCATCTAATTGTGAAGTTTCACTCTGGTGGGACTCTCAGAGCAATTTGTGGGAGGAACTCTGCAGGGTCCGTGGAGGGAGTGTAACTGGGGACAGCACTCAACGCTGTGGCCTTTTCAGTCCCTTTAGTAGCAAATAGAGTTTACTAGTTACTTTTCCTCCAGGTGCTTGGTCCCAGGTGATTGCTATCCAGGGAGCAGCTCCAGCCCCAAGACCTTCCCCCTGAAGTTCCAGTTGGTAAATGCTACCCAGGAGCTTTCAGAATATTTATCTCTTTTTAGTCTAATACATTCATCTATTTATTCATTGATAAAACAATATAATGGGCAGTTGTAAACCTACCCTGAACACAAGACCTAGATGACTGCTAATAAATGACCTCAAGCTAAAGGCTCCATCCTCCTCTCATCCTACTTCCTCTCCCAGAGGGATCACTCACTGGATTCCCTGGACTCTTAAAGCATTTTAATTATATATAGTACATTGTTTAGTTTCGCTCATGTCTGAAAATTACAGTAAAGGGCATCATGCTATACACTGTCTTCTGGGTATTGCTTTTTTATGTTACTAAGATTCCTACTACTCTCTGCAGCTGTAGTACTTCATTTATTTTGACTCATGCATAATATTCCATGGTGTGACTATATCACAACTCATGAATCTTTCTTTGTGCATAGACACTTGGATTGTTTCCAGCCCTTGGTTGTCATGAACAGTGTTGCTTGGGCCCTCCTGTACGCAGATCCTGAGAGCTGTGTGCAAAGATTTCTCTTGGATCTATGCCTATCAATGGGAATGCTGTGATCCAACTTGACAAGAAATTTACAAGACAAAGAAAATTTTCTTCTGAAGTGTTTGTACTGATTACAATCCTACAACTGATTCACATCCTCCTCAACATGATGTTGTTTTCAGTGCCATCAAGTCAATACTCAACTCATAGTGACCCCATGTGACAGAACAGAACTTCCCCGTAGGGTTTCTCAGGCTGTAATCTTTATGAGAGCAGATTGCCACTTCTTTCTCCCTTGAAGCCGCTGGGGGGGTTCGAACTGCCAACTTTTGGTTAGTAGCCGAGTGCTTAACCATTGCGCCACATGTAGTATGGCAGAATTCTTAATCTTTGCCAGTTTAGTGGGTAAAATTGGCATCCTATTGTGGTGGTGACTGGTCGTCTTTAGTGTTAATGTGTGTTTCTGTACAATCTGTCTGTGTCTTTTGCCCATCTCTCCCCATGGCATCATTTTTTACTCACTGATTTGTAGGTACTTATGGTATATTCTTTGAATTTTTTCTTATTGAGGTATAATTTACACAAGGAAGTAGACAGTTCTTAACTGTTAAATTTTACGCATTTTAACAAATGCATATATGCACGTAACCCACACCCCATCAATATAAAGAACTTTCCTTCACCCCAGAAATATCCGGCATGCCCTTCCGAAACCCTGACCCCCCACTTCGAGCAACCACTGTTTTATTTGTTGTTTTAAATCATAGATTAGATTTGTTTGTTCTAAAGAGTCGTATAAATGAAACCATATAGTATGCCTTCTTTTGTCTCTAGATTTTTCTGCTCAGCATGTTTTTGAGGCATATCCAGGTTGTGGTGTGTTTATTCCATTATATAGACAAACCATGGCTTACCTGCAAGTGTATTGTTATTATTTGATTTCCAAAATTTGGAGATTTTTAAAGAAACATTTCTTTGTTATTGATTTCTACTTTAATTCGATTGTGTTCAGATGACATACATTACATATTTTTTAATTTTTTTAAATTTGAGATTTATTTTATAGCCTATGGTCTATTTTGGTAAATGTTCTGTGTTCACTTGTAAAGAATGTCTATCTGCTGATGTTGGATGTTGGTGGAGAGTTTTATAAATGTCAATCAGGCAAGTTGGCTGATAGTGTTCTTCAAGCCTGCTATATCCTTACTGATTGTGCCTAAACGATTAAGATTGTTTTGTCCTCCTAAAGAATTGACCCCTTTATCATTATGAAATGATTTTCTTTATCCCTGGTCATGTTCTTTGCTCTGAAATCTCCTTTGTCTGATATGAATATAGTCACTCTTTCTTTTGATTAATGTTAATATGGTTCATCTTTTGACTAATGTTAACATGGTTCATCTTTTTCATTTTTTTAACTTCCAATTCATTGTGTCTTTGTTTAAATCATGTTTTTTGTAGGCTGCATATAGTTGGGTCTTCCTTCTTTTAAATCTAATCTGATAATCTCTGCTTTTTATTTGGACTATTTAAGCCCTTTACATTTAATGTGATTATTTATATAAACCGAAAAACCAAACCCATTGCGTCAAGTTGATTCCAACTCATAGTGACCCTATAGGACAGAGTAGAACTGCCCCATAGGGTTTCCAAGGCTGTAAATCTTTACAGGAGCAGACTGCCACATCTTTCTCTGCAGAACAGCTGGTGAATTTGAACCGTTAACCTTTTGGTTAGCAGATGAGCACTTAACCACTGCATCACCAGGGCTCCTGATTATTGATATGTCGTTGTTGTTGTTAGGTGACATCGAGTTGGTTCTGACTCACAGAGACCCTATAGGACACAGTAGACTGCCCCGTAGAATTTCCCAGGAGCAGCTGGTGGATTCAAACTGCCGACCTTTTGGTTAGCAGCCGAGGTCTCAACCACTGTGCCTCCAGGGTTCCGATTATTAAT